AGATAGCTATCAATTGAGAAATGATTGAGTAAGTTGTATTAAGAATGTAATGGAGTATTATTGTGCTATAACAAATTAGGAAATGTTGTTCAGTCGTGTTCTAACTTTTTGTTATCCCATTTTGGGTTTTCTTGGCAAAGATACTGAAGTGGTTTGCCACTTCCTTCTCCAGCTCTTTTACAGATGAGGAGACCAAGACAAAGTGATTTGCCCAGATGAATCTTCCTGACTTCAGGTCCAGCGCTCTATCCACTGTGGTCACCTGGCTGCCAGAATGAGAAAATAGATGATATCAAAGAGATATAGAAAGATATAAACTGATACAGAGTGAATTTAGCAGAACCAGAATAATTTATACAAAGAAAGTAAAGACAAACAACTTTGAAAGCTCTAAGAACCATGAGTGATGCAATGACCATCTGTGATTCTAGATGAGAAGTGATAAAACATATTATCTGCCTTCTGACATAGAGATGATGGATTTAGAGTGCAAAATGAGACGTGTATTTACCTACATATTTGCATTTAGCCAATGTAGGAGTCTATTTTGCTTGTCTATGCATATTTGTTACAAATGAATTTTTCTTTTCTGTTTTCTTTTCTGTTTCTTACTTCCCAATGGAGTGAGGAGTAAGAGGAAGACTAAATAGATTTCTGTTAATTAAATTAATAAATGAACTTTCAGGAGAGTCTCCTCTATTCCCTTCTCCTCCTCTGCCCTGCATCTTTATCAACTCTTTGTTTTCTGGTTTCTTCCTTGCTGCAGTATTTTTTTTTATGCCCAGACACTCCTCCTTCCTTAAAAAACAAACCAAAAAAACCTTTCACTTGACCATGCTGTACTCTCAAGCTATTACTGGAGAAATCTCTTTCATAGCCAAATTCACATAAGGCAAGTCTTTGCTTCTACTTTATCTCCTCACTTTTTATTCCCTCCCAGTTTGACTTCTAACTCTACCACCTACTCAATGAATTCGGTACCTGACTCGCAGTTTTTCTCTCCTCTCCAACTCCTGCCCTCATACTGGGAGACTTCAAACATTTTGACTCTCCTTCCATGACCTACTTCTCCACCCCACCTCAGCCAAAGACAGTCATAACTTTGATCTTACCTTCCATCATAAATGTACCACTTCCATGTTCAAGAATTCTAAAGTCTCCTTATCTGACCATAATCTCTTGATTTTTCACCACTCCCTCTGCCTTTCCTTACCAACCCTACTCTTTATCTGCACTGTGACCTCCAGTGCCTTGACCTCCTCAGCTCTCTCCCAGGTTATCTCCCCTGCACTAGCCACTCTTTCCTCTTTTCCCCATCTTGACCCCTTGGTGAATCAATTCAGCTTTATACTGCCCTCCTCTCTTGAATTCCTAGCTCTCTTATCATTTCATTGATTAGGCCCTGCCAAGCTTCAGCCCTGCTGACTGGGTCCCCAACAGATTGATGTTACAAAACTGCCACTGGGCCCTCACTGCTACTAAATAATTATTGTTTACTTGCCTTATCAACACATGTACTCTCTGTCATGGTTCTTTCAGACCTTTTCATCCCTCTTTAAACCTCCCATGGCTTCCTCCCCCTCCAACTACCAGCTGAGATCCTTGCAATTGAGGCCATTCACCATGAGCTTCCTCTTTCCCCTTCTTCCTCATCTCCTTTCACTCAGGTGCTTTCTGCCACTTTCTCCTCCACTCCTGTCTCACATGATGAGGTGACTTTATTCCTTATTAAGGCTAACCCCTCTGCTTCTTTAAGTGTTTTCATTTTACCCTGTCTCCTCCAACAGATGGTCTCCTTTGTTATTCTCAATCTTTCACTTATTTTCAATTATTCTCGGTCTACTGACTCCTTCCTTATTTCTAACAAACATGTTGATGTTTGCTTTATCCTCAGAAAACCTTCACTCAGTCCTTCCATCAGGGGCAGCTAGGTGGCTCAGTGAATAGGGCTCTGGCCTTGGAGTCAGGAAGACCCGAGTTCAAATCCAGCCTCAGACACTTAACACTTACTGGCTGGGTGACCCTAGGCAAGTCACTTAACCTGAATCACCTCACCAAAAAGCAAAAAAAAAAAAAAAAAATCCTTCCATCCCTGCTGTCATCCTATATCTCTTCTTTCCTTTGTACCTAAACTTCTCAAAATTGGTTCTCCCCTGTGCCCAATATTTTCTCTCCTCTCCCTTCTTAACCCCTTATAATCTGGCTTCTACCTTATCACTCCACCAAAACTGCCCTCTTCAAAGTTACCAGTGATCTCTTAGTTGTCAAAACCATTGGCCTTTTCTTAATCTTCATTCTCTTTGACCTCTCTGCAGCCTTGAAACTGTTGATCACCCACTTCTTGATACTGTTTTCTGTCCACTTTTTCTGGACACCACTCTCTCCTGGTTTTCCTCCTACTTGTCTGACCTCATTTACCTTTGGTGGATCTTCAACCAGATCATGCCTTCTACCTGTAGGTGTCACTCTGGATTCTGTCCTGGTCCTCTCATCTCCCCCTGTTGGGCATTTCTCCCATTAATTGGTCATCTCAATCAGCTCCCATGGAATTAATTACTATCTCTAGGCTGATTATTTTCAAAACTACCTTTCCTGCCCCATCCTTTCTGCTGACCTAATCTCCAGCTGCTTTTCAGACATCTTGAACAGGATGTGCAGCAGACATCTTCAATTCAGCATGTCCAAAAACCAAACTTAAACCCTGTCCCTCTTCCTGTTCCTTCTTACTGTAGAGGGCATCACCATCTTCTCAGTTCCCTAGGCTCAAAGCCTAGGTGTCATCCTAAGCTTCTCACTCTCTCTTACCTCCTATGTGCAATCTGTTGCCAAGGCTATCATTTTGACTTTTGTAATGTATCTTAAATATGGCCACTTCTCTTTTTCTGACACTGCCCACACTTCAGTGCAGGCCCTTACCACCTCTTGCCTGGACTATTGCAATAAATTGGTGTTGGGCAGCTGTACTGCAGTTTTTCCTCCAAAATGATATTCCTAAAGTATAGATCTGACTATATTGCTCCCCTACCCAGTAAATCCCCATGACTCCCTATTGCTTCTAGGCTCAAATGTAAAATCCTATTTAGCATTCTGTGTCCTTCATAACCTACTCTTTCTCCCACCTTGCAGTCTTCTTACACCTTATTCCTTGCCATATACTCCTCAATCCAGTGATACTGGCCTCCTGGCTGTTCCCTGAACAAGACACTCCGTCTCTCAGCTCTTGGTATTTTCTCTGGAACACTCTCTTTCCTCATCTTTACCTCCTGGCTTCCCCGACTTCCTTCAAGCCCCAATTAAATGCCCATCTTTTACACTATTGGAAGCCTTTCCCAATCCTTCTTAATAGTGCCTTTCCTCTCTATTATTTCCTGTTTACCCTGTATGTAGTTTATTTTTATGTGTTGGTGTACACGTTTTCTCCCCCAGTAGATTGTGAGCTCATTCAGGGCAGGGACTGTCTATTGCCTCTTTTTGTATTCCCATCACTTAGCAGAGTGCCTGGCACAAAGTAGGTGCTTAATAAATGTTTGTTGATTGATTGATTACTGAAACCATTCTCTCCCCACTTACTAGTGATCTCTTAATTGCTCAATTGTGTCCTTGTCTCAGCCCTTCTGGACCTAGCTTGGCATCTTTTGACATAGTTTATCATCCTCCTGGATACTTTCCATCCTAAATTTTTGCTATACTGCTCTCTACTGGTTCTTTTCTTGCCAGTTTACCTGCTTCTCAGTCTCCCCTGCATATCATCACCCATGTTCTGCTTTCTCTCTCGTATATTTAAGCCTTTCACAATCTAGCGATAGTTTATCTTTAAAAAAAAAAACAACTACCTGTTTTATTAATGATCCTTTAAAAAAAAGTCATTATCACTTCCTAGTAACTAATCTCCCATAAAATCCTCTTGAAACAAATATATTTGTGAAATACGTATCAAGGCATTGACCATATCTGAAACTATACATCTTATTCTGTATCTGTAGTCTACTACCTCTTTGCTTTTAGGTGTGACACATGCATGGGACTCAGCAAGTTCTCTGAAGTCATTGGTCACTGCATTAATCAGAGTTCTGAAGTCTTTCAGTGTGGTTTTCATGCACATTATTAAAGTAATTGTATTTTTCTTTTTGTTTACTTTGCTCTTCATTAGTTCATACTATTCTTCCTATATTTCCCAGAATTCTTCAGATTTGTCATTTCTAATACCATAATACTAGTATGTTTCATTCATATGCCCCAGTTTGTTCAACTATCCCCCATTTGATGGACTCTCTCCTTCCTTCCAGTGATTTTCTATTACAAAAAAATTGTTGCTAGAAATCTTTTTGCATATATGATACTTTTCCATCTGACTTGGACCTTTGAGTATATGCCTTGTGAAATTGTCACTCAAAGGGTATTACTACTTAAAGTTAAGTATCTTTTTTTCACAATCCCTTCCAGGTTTGGACCAATTCACAGCCCTTCCAACAGTATATTACTGTGTCTTTCTTCCCACAGCATTTATTATTTTTGTGTTTTGTCATGCAATGCTATGAAATGAAACTTTGGTGTTTTAATTTGAATTTCTCTTATTAGTGATTTGTTTAATTGGATAATAATGAACTGATCATTGAATTTTGAAATGATATGTCATGTTAATTTGTTAACTAAAATTTATTAGTTGATTTGTTCTCAGTGCTGTTTAACTTATCAAACATTTATTAAATACCTCTTATGTGCATAAAAATGTGATCTGTGTATCTCTCAAACACTATGTAGTACTGTTCATTCAAAGAATATATTTCAGTAGGGGATAACCAACCATGGTGTAACAAGGTATTTTTTAACAGGTTTTAGTGATTAACAAAAAATTAGATATTTAATTATGTTTTTGAAGGTTTGAATGAGATTTTGTGATGGTGATAAACTCTATGTGAATAGAAATGATTTGTTATTATGATAATGTTTTGTTCTGTAATGTGCTTAATTCTTACTGCAATTTAAAATTTTATTTTTAGGCTCAACATGAACAACATATCTAGTACTCAAGAATCTCTTATGCCTAAAAATTCTTGTTTGAAAAGTGAGTTTGAAGATCAGCTGTTGTTTTTACCTGAAAAATTAAGAGCAAGATTACTTCCTTTCCAGAAGGATGGGATCACCTTTGCATTGAGAAGAAATGGCAGGTAAAAAAAAATTAGCCTTAATAGGTTTAAAATGTAAAATTATATTGCTTTGAATTATGCAGATGTCTTATTTTACAAATAATTTCCTGGAATTACAGAATTTAAGAGTTGTAAGGGATACCAGTGGCCAGTTGGTCTAATAAAAAATGCTTTCTACAAATTTCTAGAAAGTGTTCAGCCTATGCTTGAAGACCTCCTTTTAGGGGAAATCCATTTCCCCCTTAGGCAACCCAGTCTACTTGTAGGCTGCTCCTGTTTTTTTTTTCTTAAATCCAGTCTAAATCTACTTTCTGCCACCTGTGCCAGTTTCTCTTCAGTTTTGCCCTCCAGGGCTAACAAAAATTAAACCTAATCATTTGTCCCTCTAATTTCCTCCTTCGAAGTAAACATCCTCCTTCAAAGAAAACAGCCTCTTTAGCTAGTCTTTGATTGGCATATTCTTTAGTCATCTCACCATTGTGGTCATCTGTAGCTTCACAGAATTGTAGAATTGAGGTTTGGATGAAAGCTCAGTGGTCATCTAGTTTGATCCCTCTCAAAAAGAATCTCAATTATACTCTACTCAAAAAGTGGGCATCTTGGGAGAGGGAAGCGTCCCATCTTCAAGTCATCCCATTTCAGTTTTGTCTACTTGTAATTGTTAATACATTTTTCCTAATATCAGGCTAAAATTTACCTCTTTTAAACTTCTACCCATTGTTCCTGGTTCTGCCCTATGGGGCTAAAAAGAGCAAATATAATCCCTCCATGACATCATAACCCTTCACTTACTTGACGATAACTATTGGTTCTCCCCTGTGCCCAATGTTTTTCTTTTGCAGGCTAAGCAGGCTCAGTTTCTAAACTGATCCTCATATGACAGAGGGTAAGGCCCTCCATCATTGTAGTTGCTCTCCTCTGAGTACTGCTTGATATTCTTTATGAACGCAATTAAATGAGGCTTGATCAGGACAGAGTACAGTGTTCTGGTTCTTGGAAGCTGTGGTTCTCTTAACATAATCCAAGATTGCATTAGCTCTGTTGGCTGTCACATATTGCTGACATGTATTGAGCTTGCAATCCATCAAAACCCCCAGATCTTTTTCAGAACAACTGCTATCTAACAGTGCCTCCCCCAATTTGTAATTGTGAATTTGATTTTTTTTTTGTACTTGCATGTAAGAAGTTATATTTATCCTTATTGAATTTCATTTTATTAGATTGAACTCAGTGTTCTAGTCTATTAGGGTCTTTTCGGATCCTGACTCCATCTTTTATTGTGTTAGGTATCCTTTTTGATTTGTATTGTCTACACACTTGATGGTTATGCCATCCATGCTTTTAGTCAAGTCATTGAGAAAAATATGAATTAGCACAGGACCAAGAACAAATCGCTGGATATACTATGGGATACCTTCTGTCACGTTGACCTGGAACCATTAAGCTTTTTGAGTTTAGTCATCCAGTTATGAATCCATCTCATTGTATTACTATCTAATCCATATCCCTCCATCTTCATAAAAATAATGTGAGGTAATTTATCAAAGAAAAATTTTAAATCTAGGTAAATTATATCTATAGTATTTTCATCTATTGGTTGTTGTAATCTTGTCAAAATGGAAAAAAAGTCTGGCAGGACCCGTCCTTGATGAATCCATGCTGGCTCTTCATCACCCCCTTGTGGAGGCACTCTGTCTTGTCTTGTGTTTATTCTAAAATACTGCTGCAGAAACCAGTTTCCTAGTTGTGTTTTGACCCAAGGAAACCAATACCTGTTTTATTCTGGACTCGTGTCCTTTCATTATCAGGAAGGGTAGTATTATCTTTTTTGACTATCACGGCACAGTATTGCCTCATATACAACTTAGAATGAACTAAAACTTCATTTTTATTTTTATTTCCTGTCCTTTACTCATGAAGTTGATTTTTTTTTAAAAGCAGGGTTACTTTTGTCCCTATTAAATTTAATCTTTCTTACACTCAACCCTTTACTACAACTCTTCCAGAATTTTTTTTCAGATCCTATTATCCAAGATGTTAGCTATTTCTCCAAGATTTTGTTATCTGCCAAACTGACAAACATGCCTTACTAACTTCATATCAGTCACTGGTTAAAAAAGGTGGGATATCACTGGGCCCAGGATAAATTCCTATGGTCTCCGCTATAGATAACCTCCAGAATATCAGTAACCTATTATTGGCTTATCTTGGGCTCTGGTGATTCATTCTTGATCCAAACCTCATTGCAGCCTTATCTTTCACTATTTTGTCTAGCGTAAGACATTATGTTAAATGTTCTATTGAAATCTAGGCATGGTTTAGCAGAAACACTCTATTTTTTTGTCCAGTTTAGTAATCATGTCAAAAAATCAAATGTTAGTCTAGCATGAAGTCCTTGATGAAGCCATGCTGATTCTTTTTGTGATCACTTCATTGATTCCCTTTGTAAGTATTCACAAATATTCTTTTAACAGAATTTCCTATTACACCAGGAGTAGAAGGGTAAATTACTGGACCTTGGGTTGTAGACTTAAGCACCTTAATTTGTTGACAGTCAAGGCAGTGTTGGCACCCCTCAGGGAGTTATGAACTATCCCTAATTGTCTTTCTTCCCATGTCTTTTGCTTCATGTCTCTTTACCTCATGAAATTTGTGCCTCTGTATCATCATTCCTTTTAGTACAGGAAGCAGGGTCCTTCTGGGACGGTCCACCTTGCCCCACTGGAGCACTGTATCTGTTTCATAGCTTCACATGCTCAGTGGCACTTCTTCTCACACTCTTTTGTGCTGAGTTCTTTATGATAGCTTTATGATACTGGTTAGAACTGCTTCTGTCTCTTTACTTCCAACTTCATTCGCCTTGAAAACTGGGAGGTTGATAAAAATATGAGTCTCTATCCCTTCAGTTTCCTACTGTAGGAGGTAGATCTTGTACTTTGTGCATACATGGTTATTTTTAGCTACTAGTAGAAACAAACATAACTTACTCTTTGGAGATCGCTACAAAATTCTCCTTACCTAGCAGTCTTCCTTTAAGGAAGATAACAGTCCTTCATCTTTTTCATAACTCATGGCTAACTCTTATAGTTGATAGTTGTGTCAGAACTTGTTTCTGTAGGCCTCTGAATAGGGCTATGGCTTTTATGGTGATGAGAGGATATATTTTACTTAGGTGCCTTAAATGGTAGTTTTATAATCCTGTTATACAGTGGTATAAGCAAAAGTAGACGTTTAAGCAGGAATTCAATTTTCCAATTAGTTCTATTCACCTTATTTCGCCTTACCACTCAATTTTAGGTGTTTCTTGTGCATCTCCGGCCCCTAGGCTCTCTGTCCCCCCTGGGAGGCTAGAAGAAGGATCCCCTGAGGCTTAATTAACTTAGGCAACAAAAGGATACAAGATATAATCCAGTTATTTAATTAGTTCTGCCCCTATTGTATCACCTTGTTATTGGTCTTCTGATAGTTATCTGATATTTATGAGGGTAACTGGGAATCCTCTAAAAGGTGTCCTATGTTACATACTTTTATAATTTTTGTATATATATATTTTTTCCTTACAAGGTACAAGAAAGCCAGGGAAGCCAACAAGGTGAAGTGAGTAGGGGGAGCATTCCAGCATATTATAAGTGATAATTAATTATTTTCAGATAGGCCCAGGGTTGCTATTTTCTCTAGTATTTAGTTATATATGTTATAATAAAAATCTCCTAAGAAGTCACTTAGAGGACTTTTGTATTTTGATAGATTTTGAACCTTTGGAAAGAAAGATGCGTCTATGCATGTAGGGGTGGGTGGGTGTGTGTGTGTGTGTGTGTGTGTGTGTGTGTGTGGGTGTGTGTGTGTGTGAGATCATATGCATGTATATGTCCGTACATATTTGTATTTATGTATACATTCCATGAAAAACTGATAACATTTGTCTAAATTGGCATAAATATGTAATAATTCTTCTATTTAAGGAATTTATTAAACTGAAAAGAGTGAAGTACTTGCTGAAGTTAGGTTAGGGTAGCTTTTCAGTTCTTAAGGCTTTGTGAAATTTTTTAATTTTTAAAAATCATGATTCATTTAAGAAAGGATCCTGTCTTCACTGCAGAATTCCTTGACTGACGAATACTAATGAATTTCTCAAAACAATGATTTACTTTGGTAGAATGTTGTGAAAGTCCATTCTATAATAAACTTCATGGAAATGGACTATCATAATACTTTTACTATAAGTACAAGGATCATGTTTCATGGTTATTATTAGAAGTCACATTTTTAGGTTCCTTAACCTTGCTGTCACTAGACAATTAGCTTCCATAAATTGGAGCAGCTAGGTGGTATAATGGATAAAGCACTGGGATTGGAGTCTTGGAAGATCTGAATTCAAATCTGGCCTCAGACACTATCTGTAAATCACTTAGCTTCTGCTTCCTTATCAGTAAAATGTGGATAATAATAGCACCTACCTTCCAGGTTTTTGTGAGAATCAGATGAGTTAATAATTATAAGGCACTTAGCATAGCACCTAACACATAGTAAGCAGTATAAATGTTAGATATAATAGTAATAATTATTATTCCCTCACATAACTGAATATAGATAAAGATTGTCTTGTAGTAGCTAGATTTCTCTTGTCCACCTCTGCAAAAAGAGTGAGAAGTCATTTTCTTACCCCTTTTCCTTGGCCAAGTTTGGTAATTGGAATTATGTGGCATTCACTTTTGGCTTATTTTTGCTTTTTCTATTTATGTTGAGTTATTGTCTGTCTGTATTATTTTCCTGGTTCTTCTGATTTCCTTCTGCATCTGTTCACACAGATCTTTCTTGTTCCTCTTGTCAACAGGCAATCACAATGTCACAAGACTTTTGTGACAACCAGGTTTATTACAAGAGAAATGAACATGCATGTGAAACCCAGAGAGTTCCCAGTCCTTACAGAAGTTTGTATATTTATGACTGTACAACAAAAGAAGGAGAATACAGGAAGGGGTGTGGCATGGGAGGGAAGGTGCAGTAACCCTTCCGGAAGG